AGCAGAAGTTCTGCTGACCATTTATACAGAGCTGTAGACCCCTGTGTGACAGGTACCTTCCCTTATTGTCCAGTTCCTAAGGTGAGCTGGACTGTAAGCACATTTTCCCCAATACTTCAAGTTTCAGTGTACCATAAATGTAGTGGGATCAACAACTTTAATTGTTGCCAGTATTTACTGACAGGGCTGCAAACCTTGATTGCCAGATGACTCAGAATTTGGAATCCTTATGCTTGCTTATGGTTTTTATATGGAAATTTGAAACAGATATGACCACAGAGATCATGGTTTTCAGTGTAGTACAAATGCTACAGCACCACACCTAAACTCAGAGAGGGCTTTGGTCCATCATCATTATCTCCATTAAATGTTATGTTTTAAATTTACTACTGTTAAATGACACATTTCATATTCCAAAAATAAAAATAGAGCAATTAAACCATGCTTCTGGAGCCTCTTCTCTGTACATTCATGCTGGTTAAGATGTGCTCTTGGTGCGTGCCACCTTGTGAAGAAGCTGTGCCCCCTGGGTATTACATAAGTGCCCGTCCTGGCTCAGATGCTCAGGGTCTGAGATCATGAGGGCAGGAGCAGCGTCAGCCCCCTCAGTTCCTCTCACTGAATTGCAGAGACCAAATAATAATAGAAGTGAGGCAAAAGCAAAGGGGCAGGGAGTAGGGGAAGAATATGAGTGCAGATATGCATAGACAACATTGACAAAGAACTCCAGCGAAGAACTCTGTTTCTCCTTGGAGTCCAGCGAGCAATCCTAGGAAAGCAGGCTGAGCAATTCTAGTTAAAAAGAAAAACAGTCCATCTAAACATAATGACCAGTTGAGATACCAGGTTGAAAGGGCAGCATTATATAAAGCTGTGAATACAACACTTTCTAAATATTTTGGGCTATCACCTTGAAGGAAACATTATGGGTCCTGACAGACATGTAGCTTTCCACTCTAACTCATGGCTCTTTGAAAGAAGCACCATGAGTTACCTCTGTCTCCTAGGTCCAACAGACATTCACTGTTGGGTCCCAGGGGTTGGATCAAGCTGCAGGTTAGAGCAGCTTCAAGTCTGCAGTTGCTCTCCCCTAGCCCTGCCCCCTCTTCCTCCCTTCCCCCTCCCCCCAGCTGCAGTGCTGTCTTCAGAATGGGAGGGGGAAGGGGAGCAGAGGGAGCTTGATCTGGGGTTTGCCCAGCCAGCACTGGAAAGTGGAATGGGTGGCTTGGAGCCTGCCCCCATCCCCACTTTGAAAGGTCTCCAAAATCCAGAGAGAATTTCCTCCCTTCCCTTCTCTTCCTCCCATTCTGAAGACAGTGCCAGGAGCAGGGCTGTGCTCCCAGCATGGGCTGTCACAAGTTAATGAAAGCACTCTGCTTTGGAGTGTCTTTAGCTGAATCCTCTGTGAAGAAATCCCCCTCTCTCTTCCCATCACTTGGGTCATTCCAGGTGGACCCCTCTCTTTCTCTCTTGCTTTATTTGTGGTTCAGGCTGGTCAACCAGGTAACTTGGCTGGATAAATTCCTGAGGGGAGCAGGAAATTCTGTCTTCCTTGTGATGGGCATTTTGGAAAGCAACAAGCAACATGCCTCCCAGCCTGGATGATTCTCTGTAAGTGAAGACTTGGAAATTAGCTAGGAGTTAGGATTTATGTTTAGGCCAGACACATTTTAAAAGGATTATCATTTCCAAGAAGCACTTCCAGTCCACTTCCGGGTCCGCTGGGGAGTGGGCTGGGGGACCACCCCCCCAGCTCAGCAACTGGTGCCTCCTGGGTCTGTGGGGGGTATCGGGGTCCTCCCGTGGCTGATCACCAAGCTGGGGGGGGACGGGCACAGAGACACCCCCCGTGCACTCCCTGGCAGATCCGGAAGTGGACCGGAAGTACTTCTGGTCCACTTCCAGGTTCGCTGCCAAATACGTGGAGGGCCCTCCCCACACTCCTGTGGGACGCTCCATGTGCCCCAGCATTGCAGCATTCACAAGCTGTCAGATTGTCACAGGATCAGTCTCTTTTAAAGCACTCTGCAGCCATGCACTTCTGTAAGGGCATGGCTGTAGAATGCTTCAGAAAGTCAATTGCGTGACAAGATGTCACTTGTGTCAGCACCTTATGAATACTGTCTAAATGGTATGAGCTGTAAGATTTACGTTTTGAGGTACTGAGTAACAGGATTCAGTATATAAATTCATTTGCTTAGAGACAGTTTTGTTTTACTCAGGCACTTTGGAGTTATGGCATGTCTTTATTGATGATGCATATGTGATATCTAGCAAGTTTTCTGAAAGCCTTTACCCTATTTAAAACATAATGCTAAACCTACTATACCAGGATTGCCTGAGGCTGTAGGGAAAAAGACTTGCAGTTAAATCCTGGCCCTACTGAATACAGTAGAATTTTTGTCTGATTCCTGTCTCTTAACTGATATGTCTCTCGTCCAGTGGCAGATGAAATCTTATTTCAGAGTGCAATAGATACACAGACTAGGAGAATAGTCTTTAAAAAACATAAGAACTTCCTAGTCCTGTTTAGATTAACAGATTCTGAAAGCACTGAGATGAGAAAAATCTCCATTTTTCTAATCTGGACATTTTCAAGTAGCTTCACAATTCGTAATTTTTAGATTTTTACCTTGATATTGAAGTTTTACCCATTCTGACTTGCAGAGATGCATCTTTCTTGAAAAGGATGTGTCCTCCTATAATTATTTGGGTAATTGGTTGCTTGAGAATGCTGGACACAGGTCTCAGTGGCCTGAGAGAACCTCTTCCAATCTTACATTCCTATGTTCAAGTGCAGGTAGTTTCTGTAGCAGTTATTTTAGTTCTTGAACAACATTTTCAAGAGCACCAAAGTGACTTACTAGGCACATTTCCATTTTTAAGTAGTAACATTATAAAGTATGTCCATACTGCAGACTGCAGTTCAGTGTAGCGATACTTAAGCTTTCTGTAAAAAAGAGCGAGATTGGGAGCCAGAAGCAGTCTAGTCACAGCAGCAAAGAGCTCTATGTGGGCTAATTAATTCTATTTCTCAGCAAGTTTAGTTAGTCTGTGCAGGATTCCACAGGCGCATCTTTTAAGGCTAAGGCACAATTAACTTGGATAAATAAGATGCAAGCCTCAGCACCTTGGTTAATCTGCTCAGGTGTAATCAGTTATGATACTGAGCCATACCAAAATACTGTGGTCTCATTAGTACAGCACTCACCCCTCAATGCTTCCTTGATCTATGGTCTCTATGTGCCCCATAGTCCCCTGTGTATCTAACTGAGCTGCTCTATGATTTGTTTCCCAGTGAATTTTGGGGAAAAGTTTTCTATCTTTTTGAGCAGACAGGGAAATTGTAGGAAGATGTTGGGGGACTCAACACTGAAATGGTTTACACCGCATCCTGAGGCCCGGTATTGATCCCTCTCTTCTCTGTGCTTTGATATTGGGCCCTGGCACCACCTCCTCCCACTCTACACATGCTGAGATTGGGTCAAGGGGGCCTGATATCACCTCCTCCTACCTCCATCCTCTAAGATTGAGCACTGAGGCCTGGTACTGCCCCTTCCTGGCCCTACATGCTGGGATTCAGCATCCAATCTGGGGCTCTTCAAGGGTCTGGATATTTGGCAGCAGGGGAATGGTGCCACCACTCCCATGGGGACCCATGGGGTGTCCTGTACACTGGATGACATGTTGCCATGGGCCATGTCTGACACGTCTGGATCATGCCTGATCTAGAGTTCTTTTGTATTGCAACATGAAAAAAAAAATGCCAGTAGTCAAGATATAAATTTAAAATTTGACTGCTGCTAAATATTAATGACTTTACTGATAAAAGTCCTAATCATGTTGTTCTTTTTCAGGGAAAACAACATTTTTTAAAATAAAGGAATTATAGCTCAGGAAGAACTGCCAGGCTGAGTCAGTTATTTGAATGAATAAAGAGACACATGTCTAGATATCGTAATAGAGGCATGGCCTCTATTAAGTTCTCCAGTTTTCAAATACTAGAATATTTCAGCATAATTTGGAAATGTTGATAACTGCTTATAATAAATAGTAAACATATTGGCTGAAACTTTAGGTTTTAGAGTCATTAGTACTTTAAAAATAAAATAGGGAAAAACGTAAAAGGAATTACTTACTACTGTATATTTGTTTATTTTTTTAAAGAAAAATCCAAATGGTGTTTGAGATGATTTATCCGCCTTTGGAAAAGTGTAGGGGCAGACTTTTAAGAGGAAGAATTGAAGGAGTTCATGCTAATGAAGAGTTTCTAATGTGGAAATGAACTTACTGATTTCAATGGCATATTATTCTCTTTTGCTTTTTTAGTCCAGGCGTTGAAGGGAAAAATTACAAAGGCAAAATTTGTTAAAGCTGAACCTGTTCTCCTATGTGCAGAAGGCCAGCCTAAAGTTGATGCATTGCTTAAGTTCCACTGAGGTCTCCAGTGAGTCTTCAGTAGCCCCCTGCACAGGCAACAGATTACCCTAAGATGATTACAAGATACAGCTGTATTCCTCTTCTGAGTATGTTGCAATAACACTAATCTGAGTATTCTTTTTTTATTATTATTATTCCAGTGTGGCAAAGCCCTCCCTGGTCTTTCAAAGCAAGAAGACTGCTGTGGAACTGTGGGTACTTCCTGGGGCTTTAATAAATGTCACAAATGTCCCAAGAAGCCATGTAAGTATGATTTCAATGTTGTTTTTTGAATCACTTTCCTTTTCTGTTCTCTAAATGTCATTTTTAAAAGAAAAAATAACATATTCTAAAACAGCTATATCATCTGATATAAGAAAGGTGACAAAAGTTGGTACCCTTTTGTGACCTTCAAAGGCTAGCAAAGTAAATGTTTTTATTTTTCTCCCCTTAGAAAACTAGTGCTACATTGCTGCATTTTCTCAGTGTAAGGGAGCTAATGACATTAAATCATCTTGCTTCCTCCAGCTGGATTTATTTTGTATGTTCACACAGAAACGTTAAATTATAGAGGCGCCGGTTCCCTCTTGTAGAGAATGCAGTCACCTCTTGAGACCTTAAATGAACTTTTGAAATTTAAAGCCACAACTTTCTAGGCTCTAAGCTGTCAGTTATATTGAAATACTTTTTTTATAATTAGGCTTCCAAGAAGATTTACCCAACACTTTGGCCTCATCTACACAGGAAGCGGACTGCACAGTTCTTGCATACCCAAGTACTAAATGACTGTTCAGTAACTGGTGTTACTGCACGGTAGCATCCCTGCACGGCTTCCTGGTGGTGCTGACTGCACAGTAGCTCATTACTACTGCACAGTAGCATCATGTCGCAGTTCATGTAGACATCACCTTTGACTAGTAGTTGACAAAATAATCAAAGATAGCTATTTAGTGATTTGCATGAAAGGTAAACTTAATCTGTTGGATCAGTTTTAATAATACTAAATAACTATTCTTATTTATTAATAACAATAATGAAAACATCTCCCTCTTACAGAATGTTTTACATGAGTAGATCACAAAGCTCTTTACAAAGGAGGCAATTATCATCAGGGAACCTGATTTTCTCTGTTTAAAAATTGCAAATTCTCTAATAAAAATTGCAAATTCTCTGATACAAACCCCAAAATCTGCAATTAAAATGAAATGCTGCTACATACATACATATGTACACACACACACATATATATGTATGTATATGTATGTATCAACTGAACACAAAGTTTTATTGATATATTTACATTTTTCAAGCAATGTTGAAGCTTACCAGTATCTCAATTACTATAATAAAATAAATTCTAAATACCTATATGTTTTGGTATTTGATTTGGGGTTTTTTCTCATGGAAAATCAGAGCTCCCCCTAAACCCTCTGCTCACCAGGATGCTGGTCCAGGCCCCTCACTCCCAAGCTACAGCCCCAAAGGCCTGCAGGTACCCCTCACCACCCACAGCCCTCCAGCCCTGCTGGTGTCTGTTGCCTCCCACTCAGCCCCTTGCCCCCCACCCTGCTGGAGGGGGCCCCCAGCTGCCAGGGATATGGGGCCAGGGACCTGGGTCCACAGCCTCCTGCCCCCTGCAGCAGTGCCCAAGCCCAGGCTGCCACATATGGGAGGAAGTGGCTGCTGTGGTCTGAGTGGGGAGCAGAGCATGGAGCCCAGCTCCCCCTCCGCTTCAGGCAGCACAGCTAGACCAGAGCCCACGTGGGGGGTGGATGCAGGCTGCCTACTGCAGACTTGGCCTCCCTGCTCTGCTGCCCTCCCTCCAGGGGCCTCTGTGGCCCAGTGAGTAGAACCCAACATGGCAGGGCAGAGCGGGGCCAGGTGGGGAAGCTTGTTGCCACTGCTGGGAACATGCACATGGAGCCTCCTTCCTGACAGCCCTCCTCCTGCTCCCCCCAGCCTCTTTCAGGCTGGAACTTTGCAAGTCTGCAGAGACCTCTTTGCAAAAGTGGAAAATCCACGTTTCTCTATTAAAATGAGAAATCCCTGTTTTTCTCAGTTAAAAGGGAAAATCCACTTTTTTTTCCGTTTTCCCATGAGAAACGGAAAACCCGGATCCCTGATTATCTTTATACCCATTTCATATATGAGACGAGTCAGGCACAGAGACATGGTGTGAGTTTTACAAAGTCACCCAGCAAACCAATGGCAATGCAGGGAATTAAACATACTTCTGTTTCAGCACTTTGTACCATAAGCCCAATTCGCCTCTTAACAATTAGCAACAGTAGGTTCCTAATCCAGGGAAATGCATTGATTGTTTTGCCTACAAATCTTTGTCTCCAAGTCTAATAATGTGTTCTATGTAAAATTCTCAAACAAAAGAAGCTTTAGATCATAGTATTGCTGACCTTTCCTGGGTATTACATGTGTTCTGATGGGCCGGTGTTGCCAGGGGTTCCAGATTCTCAGGAGTATTAATACTGCACTGATTTTTATTGACTTAGTCTGGCCCATTGTTTTATGGGTAGGGCATTTTGTGTTTCAGAGCACCTTAGTTTAAAGACTAGTAAGGTACTTTTTGCATCTTAAAGGCTATATGCAATAAGAGACTTAGGCAGAGCATAACTGGCCAGTACTACACTATACGCATCAGTTTTTAGTAGCAAGAAAGGAGGTGATATCTCCCGTAGTGACAGCAAACCTCCAGCCACTGCTCCTGCAATGCATGCTACCACCATTTCTCTGCACTGTGCTTCCAGAGCTGCTGCAGAGAAATGTCAAGGTGCAAGGGAGAGAGGGCAATGAGGGGGTTCAGTGCCCCCTTGTTTATGAGGGAATCCCTTTATGCAATGCCCAGGGCTCATTTCTGCTCACCCACCCATAGTTATACTACTAGACTTAGGCACATTGGGCCTCTTTGCATGTGTTCTGGAGGTGGGGGACACTTAAATTAGAGTGGCTCCGAGGGCCGCTGTAAAGCGCATTCAGTGTCTTGTGTATTCAGCATCCCGCACTTCAAAATGGTGGTGAGGGCTCTTTAAGTAAAGCTCATTTGACAAGCTTTAGTTAAAGCATCCCCGCCACCATTCTGAGGCATGGAGACACTGAATACACAAGATGTGGAGGCTGTTGAAGCATGCTAATGAGCATGCTCCAACAGACTCAATTAATTGAGGCTGCTCTGACGTCCTGTAATTACAGTGCGTTGGAGCAGCATCCCCACACATCTACAGGCACCCATTAAAACTAAGTGCTGCAGGGTCTAAATTTTTAAGCCCAACTCCCATAGCAGAATTCAGAGCCACCTGCACTTCTTGTATGATACAAGGGGAGCTTTAGATGCCTCAGAGTGGAATCTAGAACAGCCAGTTTGCTGAGTAGGTAATCATCTAAATGAATCTCTGCGTGCAGGTGCCTGGAGAGAGCCAATAGGAAGTATTGAGGAATGGGCTGTGTTTTAAATCCTGTTTCCCAAAGGCATCTCCATCCACTTCAGAGCCATAGCCCAGAATGCTCTCTTGATGGTAGGCACGGAAACCCTTTCTCCAAGAACTGATGGGTCATTCTTGTAAGTGTTAGTGGTATTGGAACTACATCTCCCGAATGGTGTGTGTTCCTCCCTTAGGCCAAGGAGGAGCTTCAAGCCACATCTCCCTAACTGCTCTGCAAATGCTATACCTACTAAAATATTAGATAAAGGTGAGAGCAGCATCTCACTTCCTCCTTTAGCTTAAAAAAGACTCTGCAGGTGCCACTATCTTTTTCTGGAGTTTGATCTTATATTTGTGTATTCGGTGTGGTGCAGCTAGGCTGGAACTTAATTGGAGGGATGCATGGCTTCTGAATCACAGTCCTCCTTCTCAGTGGTTGAAAAGAATAGGCATAACCATTTAGTATGTAGAAATTTACCACTGAAAACTGAGCTAATGACACATGAGCATATTTGTAAAAACAGACTAATTGGTATAGTGTCATAGTTTCATAGTTTGTAGGGTCGGAAGGGACCTGAGCAGATCATTAAGTCCGACCCCCTGCCATGGCAGGAAAGAGTACTGGGATCAAATGACCCTGGCAAGATGTTCATCTAGCCTCCTCTTAAAGACCCCCAGGGTAGGAGCCAGTACCACTTCGCTTGGAAGTTGGTTCCAGATCCTAGCCACCCTGACCATGAAGTAGCACCTCCTGATATCTAGCCTAAATCTACCCTCTGCCAGCTTGTGACCATTATGTCTAGTCACTCCTGGCAGTGCTCGGGGGAATAGGGACTCCCCCAATGCCTGCTGATCCCCCCTGACTAGTTTGTAACAGGCCACTAGATCCCCCCTCAGCCTTCTCTTGTGGAGGCTGAACAGGTTCAGGTCCCGTAGCCTGTCCTCGTAGGTCCTGCCCTGCTGCCCCCGATCATGCGCGTGGCCCTCCTCTGGACCCTCTCCATGTTGTCCACATCCCTCTTGAAGTGCGGTGCCCAGAACTGGACGCTGTACTCCAGCTGCAGCCTGACCAGTGCCTCATAGAGGGGGAGGATTACCTCCCTGGACCTGCTCGTGATGCATGTGTGGATGCATGACAAGGTGCGATTGGCCTTCCGGACTGCATCCCCACACTGCCGGTCCATGTTCATCTTGGCATCAATGATGACTCCAAGATCCTTTTCTGCCTCTGCACTGACAAGAATGGAGTTCCCCAGCCTGTAGGTGCGGTGCTGGTTCTTCCTCCCCGGGTGCATCACCTTGCACTTGTCAGTGTTGAATCCCATCTTATTCTCGTCCTCCCACCCCTGTAACCTGTCTAGGTCCGATTGCAGCTTATTCCTTCCTTCTAGTGTGCCCACTTCTCCCCACATCTTAGTGTTGTCTGCGAATTTGAACAGGGTGCTTTTCCACCCCCTTGTCCAAGTCACTGATGAAGATGTTGAACAGTGCAGGCCCGAGGACCGAGCCCTGAGGGACCCCACTGCCCACATCCCTCCAGGTCGAAAATGACGCCTCCACCACCACTCTCTGGGTGCGGCCCTCCAGCCAGTTGGCGACCCATTTGACTGTGTGGGTGTTGACACCACAGTCCCCTAGTTTTTTAACGAGAATGGGGTGAGAGACAGTGTCGAAGTCCTTCCAAAAGTCCAGAAGGACTACGTCCACTGCTACCCCTGCCTCTAAGTATTTTGTGACTTGGTCATAGAAGGCCACTAGGTTGGTCTGACAGGACCTGCCTCTAACGAACCCTCTAATGAATTTCATAATAATATGAAAAACTATTATTTT